ATACAGCTAGTATGCCAATCAACTTTTATTGGGGTTTTGCAAATAAATTTCTTCTAAACAATGAAAATCAAGGAGTTACTTTCCCCACCCCGCATTCTATATATTAGACAGAGGAGGAAAAAAGAAACATAATTTAAGGTAATGATTAGATAAATGGTCTATCAATTTTTATTTGAGGATGAAGGGAGTAGGATTGTTTGTATCAGGTGAATTTTGTTTAAAGTATGTTTTAAAGCTTTTGGAAAAATTCCAAAACTAACTTGAGAAAAGTTATTTTAACTTGTATAACTTGTTGGTGTAAATGTAATGTGTAAAGGACATCAAATTGTACATTTGTGGCTTATAAGTAAACTAAAGTGATTCATTTAAAAAAAAAAAAAAAAAAAAAAAAGTAATAAAACTATGACATTACTTAATTAGAAAAGCTTTTTATTGCTTTTGTAAATAAGTTAAGGTCTAAGGACATTACTGTCTGTAGAAATAACATTTTTTTGATGAATAATGAATTTTTACAAGAATTTTTTCATTTTTAAAATTTTTTTAATTATAATAAAATAATAATTCAAAAATCGTTTAAAATTCTTCATTGCTTTCAAAACGGTTGATATTGCTGTAAACGTACATTTATGAATCAAAATTTGAAAAACTAAATGCACGAGGCTTTGAGGAAACCAAATCATTTTTTTTTTTTGGTTCGACCATCTCTACATAAAACTCATCTCTGAATTGTAACATACAAAACTAGGTCTGTCCCATATAACGCTAAAATGTGGTATACCCTGGAGAAAAAGGTCCCCAAATTGATAAAAAATTTTTTAACGTGTAAATGTTTATGTTAGTATTAAAGAGGGAAGACCCAAGTATTTTCTGAATATTTTTTCAGATTTTTTAAGTAAAATTTTTAACATTTATAGGAAGTATAAATGTTAAAAATTGTTTTTCTTGAATCAAAAATATAGAGATAATTCCCAACCGTGGTCCTTGCTTAGGTGCGTGTTTGAGGGGCGTTAATTGATGTACGTCAATATATTGACAACTTACGTCAGGGGAATTTATCGTACGGTAGCGCAGAAGTGATGTAATTCATTCTAATTTTAAGTGAACCTGGTTAGTAAATTAAAAAAAAAAAAAAAAAAAAAAAATTCACTTTCAAATTTTTTTTTTTTTAACTTTACATTTGAGGAAAAATTTCTGCACTGAAAATAACATTTAAATTATGAAAAAAAAAAAAAAAAAAAAAAATCAAATTTTACAAATAAAAATAATACAGTAACATTTTTTTTAAATTGAGTTGTATTATTTGTCATGAAATATTTTTCTGAGAATATAAAAATTACATGAGACACCATTAAATTTCATAATTGAAACAGGTTAACTTAATGAAATGAGATTTTATTTCTTTTTATTAAGGCAGACTTTTTCTATTTATTAATACTTGTGATATGTCAGTCATGGGAGTTTTATACATATTTTATTTATTAATAAAATTAACAGAAATGCTATGCAATCGATTTCAAACTGCTGTGTTGTTAACTGAACGAATGCAAAGCAATTTCTGAAGTAAAAAGAACTTGCTTCTATCAAGAGAAACAAGTCTACCTCATGTGACATTATTTCAAAGCTGTGCATCCATACTTTCGTTGGAGACGATTTTAAATACAATTTTGGAATGTTAAAAAATTATTTTAAAAATATCAACGGTTGTCAGATTTTAATAAGCTTTCAAATTTATGATCTTTAAAAAGTAGAGAACATATGTCATTTCCATAAGGTTGCATAAAGAAACTTAATTTTAAAATATATAACATTTTGTCATATTGTGTATTTAAAATAAGAAAATTATTGTAAAAATTCATTTTTCATCAAAAATTTTTTTTCTTTCAGATAAAAATTACCTTTGAGTATATGTTATTCAGAAAAGTCATAAAAAGCCTTTCTAATTAAATATTGTCTTAGTTTTATTGGGTTTTTTGTATTTTTACAATTGAAAAAAAAAAAATTTTGGATTTTTTGCTTTTTTTTATCTTAAAAAAAAAAAAAAAAAAAAAAAAAATCGATGATTTTGAAGTTTTCATAAAATTAAGTTCGAGAGGTTAACATATATAAAAAAAAAAATATTTATACCATGACTTTCAAAAAGACAAACATTTCTAAAATAATTTCATTCATTTGTGAATAAGTTCTGAAGGTTTCATTAAAATTTAAAATCCAACAAGTACTTGATTTTTGCAAGATTTTCCAAATACAAGTAATGCTCTAATTATTACCTAATTTTTGACCTAAAAAATTTTCAATCTAAATTTAAAACATGCTGCAAATGAAAAAAAAAATTTTTTTAAAATAATTGAAAAATACCTTGGTCTTTAATCTTAATAAAGTTTTTCACGATAAAGTTGTTTTTATTAAACTTGGGGTTCTTCATGCTATGCGTTTTTGGGCGACAAAAGGGACAGACCTATACAAAACTCAATAAAACAAAAATATTTAATTTCAAAAGCTTTTAATTGCTTATTTATTTTAATGAACATGGACAATATTGTCTGAAAAAGCAAAAAGATAATTCGATGAAAAATTAATTTTTTTTAATTATTTGTTATTTCTGAAATATTTTATTTTTACATTATGTTGTTAATTCTTCTAAAATTAGGGAAGAGTTTGTTGTTAATTAAGTAGATATATATTTACAGATTATAATTTCCAAAGCTCCTTACAAACTAACGAACAACAGTATATAAAAAAAATATGTGTGTCAAAAATAACACTTTAAATCAAATCTACGGAAGACCGGAAGTATCATGCGTACAAAAAAAAAAAAAAAAAGTCACGTGCATTGAGTTTCTGTCTAGTATTTTAAACTTAAATACTTAATTTTTAATACAATTATTTGATATTTCTTTAATTAACAAATTTTTACATTTAAGTTGTTAGTTAAAATCCGCATTCAGTTTCGTAAATGTCCTTTTGAGAGATTTATTTTTGCGAAACACGTGGAGAAGTTGATTTTTTTAATTTCAACTGATAAGGCTACCTACAAGTATCAGTATGAAATTAATTTGTATTTTATGTACACTTCTGATAAAATTTCCTAAGAAATGAAATTCAAGGAATTTAATTACAAAATTAGAAACCTTATGAAATTTAATCTCACTTCTCAAATAAGAAGACTTGAGAGTGAGATTATAATTTCTTTATAATATATTTTACATAAAGCATCGTATACGTAAAAGTGGATGCTAAGTACAAAAAAAAATAAATAAATAAATAAATTAGAGCGCTGAAAGTTTTCCTTAAAAATAACGAGGTAAATAATTTGTTCAAAACGTCATGAATGTCTTTCGTCACCTGTCAAGTGACACGAAAGGTTATGACTTGCTTTGTTTTATTTTCAGACGTCTTTTTGGTGCAGAAACTAAGTTAAGCTTGGTTAAAAATAAATAAAACAATTTCTGATTTTCTTAAAATCAGTTTTGAAAAAATAATTGATTTAAAAAAAAAAAAAAAATATGAAACTGAGATTTAATTTTTTTTTTATAAATTGGAAAAAAATGGCTGACATGATTATCTATCAATATTTTTGCTGACTCAGAAAAACAAAATTTTTAACGAATATTTTGGACGTGCTAGGAACGGTTAAAAAATGTAAAAAAATACTTTGATCTTTCCTCTAATAACAAACATTAGATGATAAAGTTTTGTTTTTGTCAAGTTTGGCGTCTTTTTCGTCATGCTATATAATCTTTTTTAGTCTTTAGCGATCTCAGGAAGGTACTTCATCAGATTGCTAAAGAAAGCATTGCATGATGAAAAAAAGACGCCAAACTTGACGAAAACAAAATTAAATTTTATCGTCTAAATGTTCATGTTATTAGAAAAGATCAAAGTATTTTGGGGGGTATTTTTTTTAATTGTTCCTCATACGTCCAAAAAAAAATTTGGTATGCTAATTTTTCAGGGAAACCGTGGAGAAATTAAAAAAAAATTAAGTTTCAGGAACTCCATAAAAAAAATAGTCCTTGAATTATTTTCAATGTGTTCACTATCGATTTTGAATATTATATACATATTTTTTTATCGCTTTCGGGGATTCAGCTTTAAAAAAATGTAAAAATTGGCATCATCCAAAATTCTCACGTACGAATTAAACACGAGTTAAGTAAAATGGCTCGGAGTTACCGAACCAGAAAACACACACAAAACTTCCAAGTTTAAAATAGAGATTCAACATAAAGTTTATGCATTAATTATCAATAAATAAGTCTGAGAATTCCCTGATTTTTCGTAATTGTTGGTAAATAGTGGGGGGGTGTCCTTCATGTGCCGAATATAAAATAAGAATTTATATTTTATAGGTTAATAAAAAGAGAGCAATCTCGGAGCACATGTATCCTACCACTACTAACGAAATTTTACAGATTTTATTCAGAATCTGCGTAAGTAAAATAAAAATCTGAGAAAGTTTAAAGAAAACGAAAAAAAAAAAAATGTTTGTTTATCTTGCTTTGAGAGGTTTTAAATAAATTCAATGGAGATGAAGAAACTGAAAACAAAGAATTTTTTTTTTTAGTAACAAGAACGTTTTTAATCATGGAATGAGTAGTTGTTAGTTAATTTTACAGACTTCAAAACCTTTATTTTCGCTGAAAAGAGGTCATGTAATGAAAATCGAAAGATTTTAGAAGGGTGTTCTGAAATTCAAGGAATTTAATTACAATAATTACAAGAGTTATAATCCTCACAGATTAAAAAATACCCCAAGAAAAATATTTAAAGAAAAAAAATGGAACCATCGTCACAGAAAATAATAGTAGATAGACACAATTAACAAAATAATTTGCATGTTAAAGTCAAATGAAAGGTTTGATAATAATTAATTAAGAACAGTATGGAAAAAAAAATCTAACACGATCATTATAAGGAAGCTGAGTCATTATGGAGAATTTCATCTTGAAAATTATGTCCTAATTATAGATAATAAAAAAATTCTAATTGTTCATACTTACCATGTTAGAATTTTTTTACAGATGAACTGAATAGTAATATACAGAAATTTCTGGATGAATGTTCTCGAAGAAACGTGCACACTACCAATCCCGACAAATCCCGTGAGGCAAAGGTTTGCATAAATAAAAATGGAACGAAATAAACGTTAGATGAAACGAAATTAGAGACATTCACGCAATTGTTTAACAACTTTACCTTATTACTAATTTTAAAAAATATTACATTTTCAAGTGATAATTATTTTTAAAATGAAAAATTGTAAAAAAAAAAAATTGTTGACAAGCTATTTTTAAAAATATAAAGTATCAAAAAGAAAGAGTTTGTAAAAGTGACGAGATTAAAAAGAAAAGGGAGTTTTTTGTAAACTACCCTTTTTCTTTAAGTTTCTCGTTACTTTTATACTCCTTCTTTCAGCGACTTTTATCGAATGTCCTGTAGAAAAATAAATTATATTTATCAACTTGCTACAACTTTTAGCAAGAATATTCAAATCAACTAGAAAGATAAATTAATAATTTCTATATCATTATTGCGGAACTTTAATCAGCCAACAATACAGTTGGTTATTGAAATTGAAATATCTTTTTCAGAAAAAAAATGTTAGAAAAAAATCGTCGAGCCGAATTCGAATTCCGGACGTGATCGTCATATTCACTTTCGCACGAATACCCTTCCTTGCGAAAGGTAATTCATCGATTCTTCCCTCAGCTATTGTAGGGCAAACTGAAGTCTCCAGCCGTGATCGGCAACCAGTATAGGAGAAGGACAACTCTAAATTCAAAACCCTGTGTCACTTAAGTAGTAGTAACTAAGCCCCGCTTAACATAGTTGCAGTAAACCACACGTTGGCTCTATGGATGTTGAAGAATCGCAAATGGGCCTGAGCAGTTGAGCTTTTTTGAAACGAGCAACTCATGACAAATGTGAAAACAGCTTTCCTCTTTGGTTTACTAAGCTTTAATGATGAAAGTTGTATGACAGTTCTTTTTAAAAAAACATATCAGTACATTTGCTTTATTTGAAAACTGGACAATTTTAAAAGAAAAGGCAATCATACATTTTTAAATTTTAGCCATTTAATTTTGTTTCCTTTTTTTCTAATAGATACATTTGATGTTTTTATTTCTATATTAAGATCAAATGTAAAAATATAGAATAAGGCAGTTCAATATTACTCTCCTTGTTGATAATTTAAAGGGGGTACAATTAAATAACAATAATGATGAAAATTTACAAGCCTGTAATGATCATCATCACACACATGCATGCTTACTCAAATTCAAATTATGCAACAAGCATTCATTGGATAATAAATCAACACTACTGTGCAATGGACAATTTTTAAATGGCAGCTATGAGACAATTTTTTCATGTAGTCGATTTTGTGCACTTTTGGGAGAATCGGATCCCAAGTGTGCACAAAATCGACTACATGAAAATATAGCGATTATAAAATTGTCGCATAGCTGCCATTTAAAAATTGTCCATTGCACAGTAGTGTTGATTTAATGTCCAATGAATGCTTGTTGTTGTATAATTTGAATTTGCGTAAGTATGTATGCATGTGTGTGATGATGATGATCATTACAATACCCCCACGAGATTAAAGAAATTATAACAAAATTCTTTAAATATGTCACGTAGGCGCGAAACTTAGAATCTGTAAAAGTGAGAGTGTCCAAAATTGTTGACACATGTTGAAACTGAATTTCTGAAATGTTATCAGATGAAAAATTGCCGAATGTGTCGTTGAATGTGTGTCGACGAAATGTGCGCGTGAGTTGTTGTCAGCCGACGTTGTGTTGAAGTGCTAGTTTTATTTTCAAAGTTCCACATCGAATGCATACAGATTATGTTGGAGTGGCAACGTTGTGGCGAAGTTGAAAAATTTGCTTATTAATGATAACCAAGTAGTAAATCGTCAGCAAACTTTTATGTGAAAGTTGCGTCGCAGAATATTTTTCGAGACAGTGAGTCGTCCGAAGATTTCGTTGCACAGAATGTATTCAAAGACAGTGGGTCGTCCGAAGATTGTTTCACATTTAATCTCTTCTGTGTAGAAAACTTTTAAGTAAGCAATGTAGCAATGTTGAAAAGTTGATAAGCAGTAGTGTGAAATGTCGCTACGTGGTGTAGAAATTGTATTCGCGCCTTTTCTTGAGTTTTAGGATTGAACAGAATGCGGTTGCTAAATGTATGGACGGGTTGCATCTGTATGTAGCGAGAGATGCTGAATTTGCAGTATTAATAGCAAACGAATAACGTGCGTGCAAATTCTCAAAGTGATGTCGTATTGTAGGGGTATGTTACATATATTTTTCTTTTGACTAGGAAAGGCGTGATTTTAAGGAAAGCAAAGACGCTGGAGGTTACTATCCAATGTGGCGTGCACAATGCAATTTATATTTGACGTAAAATAGCACATAGAAGACAGAATGTAATGATTCAAAACATAACAATTGAACTTATTAGTGTTGATGTACATGCATATAGGCTGAAGGTTTGATAGAGTTATGTCTCTTAGATTTGGAAATATTTGTACCTGAGCTCATAAAGATGAAGTAATTATTAAACTGTAGTTTAGAAGAATAAAGTTCCTTTAGCATGTTAGGAAATGTGAGTTGTAAACCTTGGTAAGAGTTCAGAAAAGATTTTAGAGTTCGTAATTGCGTGAAATGGTAATGTTTTTTAACGTCTGACCGCAAGGTTAATACGAAAGTTCTTGAAGATTACATCTTGGCAGCAAGGAGAAAGATGAATGAAAAAACGAAGAGAGAGAGAGCTTACACGTGTTTTGTTTATATAAGGCTGGGTATCACGTGATCGGCTCAACCTTAGTGAGCGGGAAATTTCATTCCTCGCGTGCAGGATATCTGATTGGCCGGAATTGATCAATCAGCGAGCTAGTTTTGAGGAGATCAACCAATGAATGCTTGTCGCATGATTTCTATGTACTTTGTGTATGTAATGGTGGTGGTAGTTACCACAATACTCCGCCGAGATTAAAAGTTGCAGGAACGAAAACCTTTTAATATGTAAAAAGTATTGTCCTTGTGACTGAAAAGAACATGTGTCTAATGTATTTGCGTTGTCTTCAGGGTGCTGTATATTTCTCTAGTGGGTCAGAGTCGGGCACGTCCTGGAAAAAACGTCGGTAGTGATCTGCGTTTGCTATTAAAATTTGTCTTTTTCCAATGCTCCAGGTTGAGTTGGCTTTGTCGATCTGTCAACCTGTTTGCTGGCCTGGCCGTAGTTTTGCTTGAAAAATGAGCTGGTTGGTGTGGTATGCGTGGATAAAATTGGCGCACAAGATTTAATAGAAACAGCGTTGTGGCGAAGTTGAGCAGAATTTCTACCGAGTGTCGAGAGAATTTGCTATTATTGACGATAGAATATCGTTCTCGCAAATTCTTAGGTCATTCGAGTCGCATCATTGCAGGGTAAGATAAAGGACGGTGAGTCGCCTTTTAAGATTTGATTGGACTTCTGAAACATGTGCGGTGTGTAGCACAATGTGAGTGAATGTGTGTCGCCATAATGTACGCGTGAATGTGTTGTCAGGAATCGCCAAATGTGTTGAAAAGAATGAGAAGCTGGCTTAATTTCCAAAGATCTGCGTAATTCAGTGAGTCGAATTTGTACAGGTGATGTTGAGTTGCAACGTCATGGCGAAGTTGAAAAAAAAATGATTATTAGTGATTATGTAGTAAATCCTCACAGCAAATTTTACATGAAAGATGCGTCGTAAATGTTGTTCGAGACAGTGAGTCGCCCGGAGATTGTGTTAAAGGCATGGTAAGCAATGTAGCAAGCAATGGCGAGTTTTGTCGCCACGTGGTGTAGGAAAAATTTCAATGTTCGTCCTGTCTGGCTATTACGTGGTTTTTAGGCATTGGCTTTTCTCAACTTCGGGCGTTCCTTTGCGTCGTTGAGTTCACCATTCATGTCGCGGCCTTTCCTAAACGTCGTGGTCACCATTATCTAGGGGCGATGCTACATATACGCAAATTCAAATTATACAACAACAAGCATTCATTGGATAATAAATCAACACTACTGTGTAATGGACAATTTATAAATCGCAGCTATTCGACAATTTTATAATCGCTATATTTTCATGTAGTCGATTTTGTGCACTTTTGGGAGAATCGGATCCCAAGAGCCCAAAATTTATAAATTGTACATTACGCAGTAGTGTTAATTTAATATCCAATGAATGCTTGTTGTTGTATAATTTGAAGTTGCATAAGTATGTATGTATGTGCGTGATGATGATGATAATTATAAGCTCATATGTCCCTTCCACTACCTAAAAGCGACGACTTTAAGTGTTCGAACTGCCTTTTCTCGATATGTTTTCAATTTGGTGTCTATTTATGGCAACACTGTGTCTGACTTTGGGCAATAGATCAATGTTCTGCAAAAAATAAATAAATAATTTAAAAAAATAAAAATAAATAAATAAAAAAAATAAAAAAATAATGACTGAGAAGGAAGTTTATTTTTCCCCAATCATAAGAACGAAATTTCAAACCTGGGCGATAATTTGAAATGGTAACTGAGTGATCCTGGCGACTTGAATAAAATAAGGTCACCGACCGGTGAAAATTACTATTCATAATCTAATCACTTAATGAATAATGATTTTCCACGAACGTTCTAATAACAACAACAACAACAATAATAATAATAAACGCTAAAAACGCATTTTAAATAATTTAAATGCCTTTTTGAACTTAAACTATATCGTATATAAATAAAGTTTTTAGACATTTTTAAAACATTGACACATTCTTTCGTCACTAATCGAACCGCCATTATAGATGAGAAATGTAAACAACAAATTTAAAATATCTCTTAAAAATCCAGTATTTGTCCAAGATGTTTTGAAGTCATTTAGTAAATTAAAGGATTAATTAAGTGAATTTTTTAAAAGTAATGTTTACTTTTTACATAAAACCTAATGTGGAGTCAGTGGTTAAAAACAAAACCTATGTAATTA